CAGGATGGCCAAACTTTGTCTCTCATACTTTGGACATATTGTCAGGAGGGACCAGTCACTGGAGAAGGATATCATGTTTGGTAAGGCTAAGGGACAGAGAAAAAGAAGAAGACCCACAGCGAGATGGAGTGGCAAAGTGGCAACATCAGGGGGCTCAAGCGCAGCAACAATTGCGAGGTTGGCCCAGGACAGGGCAGTGTTTCATTCTGTTGTACATAGGGTCACTATATACCGACTCGATGGCACCTAACAACAACAACAACAAATTAGTAATAATAAATAACATGTAATAAAATAGTATAAAGAGAGTAAATGATAGTACTAATGGAAAATTCATCAAAGACTTCTTTGAAGAAACGTAAATTGAAATGGATCTTAAATTATGTGCATTAAAGGCAAGGGAATAGAATGAAAAACGGTACCTGAGTGATAAGAAGCCTGGATGGATCATTAGCCTTTCAGAAGTTACTATCACTTTTTACTAAGTTACTATTACTTTTTACTAAGTGCTGTTCAGTCGTTTTCCGAGAAGCAGCTGGTGAGCTTGAACCGCCGGTCTTTATGGTCCAAGTTGACTTTACAGTCCAGTGCTTTAACCAACAGCACCACACCAGAACTCCAACTTAGTTGAGTAGGATGGCCCAATTAAGGAGAACCCTGAAAGCTTCAAGAAAGGGTTTGGAGCTTTATCTTCAGGGATATTAATGGCTTAAAATCTGGGAAATGCCATCATGAAAACAGTGTATCATAAAGCTGAACTTGGTAGCTTAATTAGGATAAACTAGCAATATAGCAAACTTGAAGCTGTAATTTCATGATATGCTTCTTACCCTTAATTGCATATGTAAGATTGTGTGTCAGTATAAAGTAAAAACTGCACTTCATTTTGAAGATGATATTTCAATAATAAGTAAAACAACCAGAGCTTCCATAGAGAAGGATTATAAGTGGCAATTTGTGGATACATAAAAAACAAAACTATAATACTGAAGTCCTCTTAAAATACGTAACAGAAGCAACCTAAAAATCTGGATTTGTAATTGTCATTTTTCACTGTTCTAGCTATATTGTTGAAGTCATACAGGTAATGGATAAAAAGTCAGAATGAGAAATTGGTAGGAAATATCAGAAACTGCACATGTCAGTTGCTCAGAAGCACTCACTTCCTAACAGCAAGATAAAATAATAGTTCTGTGAGAGGTTATTATAAAAAGATTTATGTTTGTAATAAAATACAGTACTTCCACTTACCTTCATAATCCCACAGTTCATTGAAAGGCTTTCCGGGTTCTCCAAGTGGGGCTGGAGGATCATTGAAAAATGGAGCACTTACTTCCATCATCACTCCTCTGTCACCTGGACTCAGCCTGACTAACACTGGCTCATGCTTCACTGGGAAACCATCCCAAGTGTGTTCAATTTTAAACTCCATCTGAAGAATAAATGGAAAAAATATTAAAACAAACCCTATGATAGTACACCCATTCTTTCCTTTGGTTAGAAATAAAATGAGTAAAAGTTGCAATGCCAATAGCACATAAGAAAGCAACAGAGTGAGAAGAACATAGTTCTGGGAGTCAAAAGACCATCTCTGATGTAGCAAATCATGTACTCTGAGATATATTCTAAAATAGGTGAGCAGAATCGAAAATCTTAAAGATTGTAAATCTAAATTCAGCTCCAACACCTTTGTAAAGAGTATGTCAAAATCACAAAGGAAAAAAATTGTCATTAAGTCCACTGCAGAAATTGTGTGATTTACTACACAATATTCTACAACGCCGGGTGTAGGTCAAACTCACTTGATGTTCCTCAGAAACCCCAATTAGGGTTTCTATGAGTCGGAACCGACTCTATGGCACTTAACAACAACAACAACACTACAACTACATGCATCTGGAGTCTTGGTGTGACCTGGTAGGATAAGCACTGGACTGCTAAATGAAAGGTTGGCAGTTCAAACCCACCAGTCACTCTTTGGAAGTTCTATACTAGTTGCTAGGATTCAAAACTGACTTGATCGCGCTTGACAACAATAAGTGTTTTCACTTTATATGTCATTCTTTGTCTTTTATTGTAAAGTATGCAGGATTTCTCAATTACTGGGTCCTCCAGGAATCAAGATCTTTATAATAAAATTCCATTTGAGTGAAAAAAAAACCTTCATAACTCAGCTAAAGTAGTACTGTCAATGTCTATTCTTTCAGATAAAAATCTTTTCCTTGAATGAATTGGGGATTTAATCCTGTGAAAGTAAAAAGTATAGTTAACAGAAGTTGTCAGGTTGAATTTTGTCTTCTCTGATGACAGAGTATATACTGTCATTGCTTTTTCATTTTTTTTGTATTTCCAGTGTTGAATGACCACTTCTTTGGTTAATTCCCTTCCTTCAGTTGAAATAAGAGAACATTCTGTCCAAGGGTACATAGTAATTTTAACTTTAATTTTAGAAAATGAATTTCTTATTAAAGTGACAAATTTGTGATTTCTTTTTTATGTTGCTTAAAGAACATAAATAAAAAATGTCAATCTTGTTGTTGTTAACTTCTGTCAAGTAGATTATGACTCATAGCAACCCTGTAGAGGGTTTCCAAGGAGTAGCTAGTGAGTTTGAACCATCGACCTTGCAGTTCAAACATATCTTATGGTCGAGTGCTTATCCTGAAATACCACACACCATGACTTCGATTTCGTGTGCATAATACTTAGAACAAAATTAATCTAAACAGTAAATCTTTGTTCTTTTACCTTTGAAATAGACTACATATGAAACAAGCAGTATTTGCATTCTTAAATGTTCTTCTAAGTACTAAGGAGCTCTGGCAGCATAGTGGTTATGAATAGGACTGCTAACCTCAGGGTCAGCAGTTCCAAACTACCAGCGGTTCAGTGGGAGAAAGATGAGACTTTCTGCTTCTGTAAAGATTTACAGCCTTGGAAACCTTGTACAGGGTTGCTATGAGTAAGCACCAACTCCAAGGCACATAACAACAACAAGTACTAAATGGAAGAATAGTAAAACATTAATAAAGTTAATTTTGTTGAACACTAGGGATTAGGTATGTTATAAAAAATTTTTTCATTTAATTTCACAACAAATTTGTAGGGGAACTGTTATTTTCCTCATTACACATGAAGAAACAGAAATATCCAAGGCCACACGACTGGTAGATCCAGAAACTCTACCATTATCAGTTACGATTTCTCAGGTAAAGACATTTCAGGCATTTCTGAGGAGATGAAAACTTTACTTTAGGGAACATAGAATTACCAAATTATATTAGATTCACATAGTTTGTCCAGAAGACAATCCTAATTTAGTAAATGATGAGATTTCCATACATTAACTTCCCTTATCTAAAGTCTTTGTGTTACAATATCAGGTCCGCCATTTTAAACTGTACCTTTCAGGTTTTCCCCTCTCCCCTCCCTTCAACTCCATTTTGTAATCTTAGGTTTCTGTTTCCCCACCCTAAGCTACAAGGCACATAGTTTAAAGGGCAACATGGCTTTTGATAGGCCAGAGCTAAATGACCCCAGCAACGACCACTCCTTTCCTGTTGAACCTATATAAGACCACTCCCTTCCCGTTGACTCTCTCTTCTTCTTCTTTCTTCTCTTCTGCCTCCTGCCTTCTCTCTCCGGCAGAGGTCACCTTCCTCTTCCTCACCCTGAATAAAAGTCTCTAGACGGGCCATCTGCTGTGCAGTGTGGTTGATGAGTAGCGCCGGGTTGTTTTTGCCCTTTCACTTTGAAATGCATTCCATTGCCTCTGCTATTTTTATTGAAAAAAATAAAAGTTACTGAATTTTGAAGTAATTCAATTCAATGGATGCACATTGAATACCCATTATATGCCGAACAGTGGGAAATTTAAATTTGTTAGTAATCTCTATCACACATGGAATACAATTTTTAAAAACTTTTTTCTAAAGTATGCTGCTTTTCATCATTTTTATTACATGCTAACAAATTTTAATAGATAACTTCTAAAATTACATATCCACCACTTGCCTGAAATTTATCATACTCTGGTGGCTTGCATGTGACTGTGATGTTGAAAGCTATACCACTGGTATTTAAAATACAAGCAGGGATACCCATGATAGACAGGTTTAGGTTGAACTTCCATACTGAAGCAGATAAGAAAGAAGAAGAGGCAGACTATTTTTGAACATTTAACCACTGAAAACCTTACGAATAACAACAGAATATTGTCAGATAGAGTCCCAGAAGATGAGTCCCTTAGTTTGGAAATCATCAAAGTACAACTGGGAAACAGATGTCGCTTCCCAACAAAGTTGACAATGATGATTAGAATAGAGAGTAAATCTTTCTGGAACCATCATGTGCTGTTGGGTCAACCTAAAAATGAGAAGAAACAGCTGCAAACATCGATAAATAATTAGAACATTGAATGTACAGAGTATGAATCTAGGAAAATTGGAATCTGTAAAAATTGAAATGGAATATATAAACATTGATATTTTAGGCATTAATGAGTTAAAATAGACTGGTATTTTGAATCTGACAATCATATGGTTTATTAAGCCAGGAATGGCAAATTCAAGAGGAATGGCATTACTTACACTGTCAAAAAGAACATTTTGAGATCTATCTTAAAGTACAAAGCTGTCTGTGATAGGATACTATCCACATGCTTGCAGCTAACATCACTATTATTGAATTTTATGCACCAACCACTAAAGACAGTGATGATGAAATTAAAGAATTCTACAAACTTCTTCAGGCTAAGGTTCATCAAACATGCAATCAAGATGTACTAATAATTATTGGTGATTAGAACGCAAAGGTTGGAAACAAAGAAGAAGGATCAGTAGTTGAAAAATATGACCTTAGTGATAGAAATTATGCTGGCGATCACATGAAAATATTCTGCAAGACCAACAACTAATTAATTGCAAATACCTTTTTAAAACAACCTAAGAGGCTACTATACATCTGTTCCTCAACAGATGGAATACATAGGAATCAAACAGATGATATCTGTGGGACGATAGGGTGGAAAAGCTCAGGAACATCAGCTAAAACAAGGCAAGGAGCAGACTGTGGAATAGACTTGCTCTCATACAAGATGAGGCTGAAGAAGAAGAAAATTAAACACATTAAGTCCACAAGACCCCAAATGAAGTACACAAGATCACAAATATGATCTTGAAAATATCCCACCTGAATTTAGAAACCATCTCAAGAACAGATTTGATGCAATAGATGCAAATGACTGAAAACCTGAAGAGTTGTGGAATGACATCAAAAAAGCATCATACAGGAAGAAAAAAAAAGGTCATTAGAAAGACTAAAAAGAAAGCAAAACCCCAAATGGATGAATGGATGTCACAACAGACTCTGAAACTGGCTCTCCAGTGCAAAGATGTTAAAGTGAATTGAAGAAATAAGGAAGTAAAAGAGCTGAACAGAAAAAATTTAAGGGCAGTTCAAGAAGACAAAAAAAAAAAAAAAAAAGTATAATAGACCTTGAGTTAGAAGGCCAAAAGTAAAGAACACACTCAACATTTCTCAAGCTGAAAAAACTGAAGAAAAAAATTTAAGCCTCAACTTGGGATTTTTGAAGCCATGGCCTGCCAAAATAACCAACAGATCTGTATTGGAAGAAGTGCAACCAGAGTGCTCCTTAAAGTCCAGATGGCCAAACTTTGTCTCTCATACTTCAGACATATTGTCAGGAGGGACCAGTCTCTGGAGAAGGATATCATGTTTGGTAAGGTGGAGGGTCAGAGAAAAAGAGGGAGACCCCAGCGAGATGGATTGGCAAAGTGGCAGCATCAATGGGCTCAAGCGCGGCAACAATTGTGAGGTTGGCCCAGGATCGGGCAGTGTTTCTGTTGTGCATAAGGTCATTATAAGTCGGTACCAACTTGATGGCACCTAACAACAACAATTAACAAAATATTGAATGACGCAAAAAAAAATTAAAAGAAGATGGTTATACAAAGTGTCTTTGTACTGTAAAAAAAAAAAAAAAAAAATTGGTTTACAGTTCAACCATTTCCAGAGGTAGTATATGATCAATAATCAATGGTACTGAAGGAAGAAGTTCAAGATACACTGAAGGCATTGGTGAAAAATAAGATTCCAGGAATTGACAGAATACACATTAAAATGTTTCAACAAACTGATGAAGTTCTGGATGCACTCAGTCATCTATGCCTAGAAATTTGGAAGACAGCTATCTGTCCAACTGATTGGAAGAGGTCTATATGTGTGCCCATTCCAAAGAGAAATGACACAAAGGTGTGCAGAAATCATATTACATTATCATTAATAGCACATGAAAGTAATATTTTCCTCAAGATAATTAAAAAATGGATGCAAGAGTACATTGAGAAAAACAGCAATGAGGCTATGGGTTAAGTCCAACCACGATCGATAGACTCCTGTCAACCTGGGTTG